TTTTTTTTTTTTTTTTTTTTTACACGTTTTATCTCATGTTTGTTTTCCGTTTTAAATCTACTTCTTCGTCTGCCACTCTGCCTTCTCGGACTTCTTGGGCTGTGGAGAACAACACAATTGCCTAGTCAACTATCACTACAACTGGGAAGGGGGGGAGAGGGGGGAGAGGGAACTTATTAACGAAAAATGAGGACGGCGTTCCTTTCGAGATCGGAGATCGACCGATTATTCGATGTGACAACCGACACATTGTAAATTTCACAATTAATTACGTGCGAATATAAACGATAAAAACGAGGATTGGGAACGAATCGGTTGATCTCCAACTGGAAAGGAAGGGCGCGTCCTACGAATAAAATTCTACGAATACAATACAGGGAAAAAAAAAACCTGCTGATCGGGTTTTTATACACGGAAAGAAAACCAGAGCCACAAAAACTGTCTTTCTCAATGGCTGGAAAAAAAACGTGAATGTGTCACCCACCCGTCGTATGGCGAAAAAGAAAACAAAAAGAAGAAGAAGAAGAAGAAGAAGAAGAAGAAGAGGAAAAAGAGAAAAAATATTCGTGTCAAAAATCAAAATTCCAAAAAAAAATTATACGATCTCGCTCGTGTAAATACAAGACTGAAATTTAATCGTCAAACGTCAAAGAACATATAGGAGTGTCATCGCCTTGTATTCCTACGAGCAAGAAAAGAAAAAAGAAAGATCCGAGAGAGATGAAGAAAAAGAAGGAAAAATGTGATTGCCATCGACGGGGAGGTTAGGAAAAAAAAAAGAAAAAAATGTCTAAAGTTAAGAAAAAGAAAAAAATAAATTTCGACTCGAATTAAATGGAAAACGATCGGTCTTACCTCCTTGTCTTCCTCCTCGAGGGTGAATTCCTTCTTCTTGACCTGTTTAAGCTGGTTACGGAAGTTGAACTCGGCCGCTTTCTTCTGGAGCTTGGCGAACTTGTTCTCGTACTTGGACACTTTCTTCAGTGTTGGTTTCATGCTGAATCACAGAGCGTTGTTACAAGATGCGTGTTACGTATAAGTATATATAACAATTGGATGGAGAAAGAGAAGAGTATACTGCGAAAAAGTAAGTTTACTTACAATTTACCTCGGAGGTCGTTCACCTGGCTGTTCAAGTCGGCGATCTGCAGCGATCGAACGAATTTCGTATTAGATTTAAGTTTCGTGTTGAGATCGAAACGAGAATCGTGATCATGCTTGTTTCTCGTTTAATCGAGGTAAACTGAGAGGAAAATCGAATGGGAACGACAATGACCCTCTGAAAACTTATCTTGTCTTTATAATAAATATTTAGAAGAGAGAAACTTGAAGAAAAAATCGCTTTAAAAATCTTTAGACGAATCGAAATTAATCGAATCCCCATTTCTTTTTTTTTTTTTCCGAGAGGGCAATCGTTCGTCGACTTTACTCCAATGGGATAAAAAACGCCGATGGAGGAATGGGATAATTACGTAGAGAATAAGAAAAGAGGCAGTTCTTCGATTGGTTTTTCTTTTTTTTTTTTTTTTTTTTTTTTTAATCACAATTGGCGCAAATTCACAATTGCCGGCAAAAACGAAGAAAAAGAAAACGCACACTCAACGACACAATGCGGGCAAAATCGAAAAAAGAAAATGGGAAAAAAGCAAAGCGGAATGGACACGTTACATCAGAGATCAAAACCGTGTCAGTCAGGCGGACGAAATAGAAGACAGAGAAGATATTCTGGAGCAGAAATAAGCATGCGACCTGCGTGCCAGAAGCAGGCGGGGATCATGGCTTTATGGTGTGTGTGCACGTTTTATGAAGGATACGGTGATGTTCGGTTAGCGAGGTTATCACTCTCGACGATAAATTGGTTTGGCCGAATTAACTGCAATGCCGGGTACAACAATGTAACGATGAGGGGAGGGAAGAGTCGTCGTGGTTGGAAGGGACACGGACGGACGAGAGATTATCGATGCAAAAGAAAGAAAAAAGAAAAAGGAATATTGGAAAGAGAAAAAAACTAAACTAAACGAGTAAATCAAACCTGTATATACACGTATACATATATACATATACAGCCTGTTCAACGTCCCCCCACAGACAAAAAAAAATTGAACTGAAGGAGAAATGGCAAAGTTAGGCTATCGATCGAAATTAAACCTCTTGTATATTATATAATTTAATCGTCGTTTCAACGAAAATTGAATTCGATGAATACTTCTATTGCGGCGATTTTAAAAAGCCATTTTACACGAAAGAGGGGGGGGGGCGGCTTTCATTCGAAGGGAAAACCGACACGTTTTTCCTTTTTTTTTTTTTTTATTTCCCACGTGACGATTAGAGATTATCGAAATCAATAAATTTATTAATTATTTAATTCAATAAAATTAATAAATTTTTAAAAACCGTATTAGAATAAATTTCCCCGTGATCTTTATTTAAACTCGTTGTCAACTTTGCGTTATATCGAAATAAACGAGAATTGACGAGAAGCGTGCCAATATATCTAAACTGTTTCTAAATCTGAATGTTTAAAACCAGTTTATATAATCTTTTCCCCATTTTTCTGAAAAAGTTTCCCGCTTCTTATTCTTTTTTCTAAGGACCCTTCGAACAAATTGATTTTCGAACAGCTACGCTCGAACGAGCGTTGTTCTCGGCTTCAAAACTTCCTCCGGAAGCCACTTGTCGGATTCTTTCTCCGCTCTCCCTGTTCCGGCCGTTCCCTTTCCCGTTTCGTCCCCGCCGTTTTCGCGGTTCACTCACCGCGAGAAAGGCGGCCGGAGTCGGTCAGAGGGAGGTGAGGGGGGGTGGAAGAAAGGGAACGAAAGAACGAACGAATCAGAGACGAAAAGAGTGAAAAAACAAGGGGGAGAAATACACGTATCACGCTATATACACTGTATACATAGGGGGAGGGGAAAACGAGAGATGTAGAGAGAGAGAGAGAGAGAGAGAGAGAATTGTTGCGGTGATAGGAACATAGGTGAATCTCATTCTAGTGCCAATCAAGAGGGAGGAGCTGGTCACGATCAGCTCTTCGTCCACAGAGGGGTGATGAGAAAAGAAAAGAAGTAAAAAATTCCACTACAATCCCTTTCCTGGCCGAATAGAAATTCTGTTCCTCTCTCCAAACGAGCGAATTTTCACCGGCCGACTCTTTCATTCTCTCTTCTTCTTCGTGCCTCGTTTTCGCACGAAGACGATCCGCGACTCCCTTCCGTCCTTCCCGTTCTTAAAGATGGACGGAAAATGGAAGATGTATCGAGGCGGGAACAGACAGGAACAGACTTCCGCCGGAAGGAAAGGATCCGCTATTTACAGGCCCAATTGAACACCATGACAAGAGGACAGTGACAGAGTCGGTGGTGGTGCGTGCGAATCGGTGCAAAATCATTTTCGCTCGTGAACAACCGATCTATCGATCATCATATCACGTAGACGCGTGTACGTGTTTCTCTTACTTTCACGTCTCTTCCACGGGACGACAACATAGGGAGAACAAGAACAACAACAGCAATAAGAACAAGAACAAGAACAAGAAGAACAAAAAGAAGAAGAAGAAGAAGAAGAAGAAAATTGTGTATCGTTTTCACGATCACAGACAGAAGGAGACAGAAGGTTGATTTACACGCGTGGTTGATCAGACCAGAAAAAAAGAAAAAAGAAAAAAGAAAAAAAAGAAAACAAGAGGCGACAATAATAAGGAGGGCGGAGGGTTCCGGAGAATTTTCACAGCATGGCACTTCGCTCTCTCGTGATATTTTTCTCACTTGGTTTCTCAAGATGGCCCACCTTCGTGAGAGTTAACAGTGGAATCAAGATGAAAAAAAAAGCGTGGGAAAAGGGAGGTAGTAATACAATACAACCAGCGTTTTGATTATCTACATTTTGGGGGCGGGGGGTAGGGGCGCAGTTACGATATAATACACGGAGTATATCTACATACATACACATATATATATATATATATATGTGTTTCAAACACATCTGCGATCAAAAATTCCAAGGGGAAGTAATGTATTCAAAAAATAAAGAGGGGGGTGGGGGGAGAAAGGGGGCAGCGAACGTTTTCGAAAATTGCAAAAATATTTCCTTCTACGTACGTACCTACGTCGTTCTTGCTCAAATGTCATCTTAATTTTATATTGCGTTTCTCTCAACGCTTCGATCTCTAATCGAAGCGTCTTTCATTTTTTTACGTTACAAGAAGTGTATATACTTGGAATATTGTATATTCGATACAATAACGGCCGTCACGGCCGTTAAATTCGTCGTTTTCGTGATTTCGATGTAAATGTATTGAATGTATTATATATATATATATAAATGGAACGAAAAAAGAAAAAGAAAAAAAAGAAAAAAAAAGGGAAAGAAAGATCGTAAAGCGAGGTTTTCCTTTTTTCTTTTCTTCCCTCACGGAGGGGAGGGGGAATATGAAGTGCCACACTTCTCTCTCGCGACGTATAATAATAATAATAATAATAATAATAATAATAATAATAATAATAATAATAAAAATGTACTTGTACGCAAATTCGCAATTAAGCTTCGATAAGCGAGATTAATAAGAGAAATGTGTAACGAGGCAACCGTTTATTGAAGAGAAATATCGGTTTCGATTCGTATCGTGATTGAATTGGCGATCGGCCGGAACCCAAGTTAATAAGAAAATTTACGATATATTGGCGAGTATTGGCGTTTGGTATAGCGTGAAAAAAAAAAAAAAAAAAAAAAAAAGAAAATTGGTCCAAGCTGTTAATTTAGACATCTGTCGAGTCCTATAGAGAATTCCTACACCTCTCGTTGCGCGTGGTCGCACGTCGCGATAAAGGAATTAAATTTGAAACTTTTCTTATTCGGCAAAGAAAAATCTGTGGCGATCGAGTTAATCGAAACGCCACAATTGCTTCGATCCAGACCGATTTCAATTTTATATGCAATTCGATCGTCGTAGAAATCATCACGTTGTGTGTAGAAATATCTTGTGCGAAGAAAGATAAATTATTTTAATCGATTTAATTATTATTTACGATTTATTATTTAAAAAATTTCCTCGAGATCGATTACTCTGTTTACACATTATAACATAAATAATTCGAAATAATTGGTCGTTAGTAGGGAGCACAAGCCAAGCAAAATAATCAAATCGAATAAAGAAGAAGAAGGGTAGCAGATAAACGGTATCGTCGAAAAAAAAGTTGAGATCGCAGGGGGGGGTGTAGTGGGAGAGAAGAAACGCAAAAGAAGCAACAGAAAAAAGAATAAAAGATCGAAGTAGACAGAGAGAGAGAGAGAGAGAGAGAAAGAGAGAGAGAGAGAAGAAAAAGAGAGAGGTAGAGATCAACGATGAGGGGGCGGAGGATGATGCAGAAGAGCAAAAACACAATAATTGAATAGAAGCGAGCAAAGAGGGGGGCAAAAACACGAAGAAGAAGACGTGAAATATACAATGGTGGCCGATAACGATTTTTTTTTTTTTTCTTCTTCTTTTTCGCATTCCTTCTGATTTTCTTCCGATTTTGCACCGTACACCCACGCACGCACACGCGCACACACACGCGCGTAGTCTCACGCACACGCGTTTTGAATCACGCGTGAGATTTTTTTTCGAAAGGGATCAACTCAGCCCCTTCATGATGTGTTCTTTTTTTTTTTTTTCCTCCCTTGACTTGTGTATGCGCAATTCTTTTTTTTTTATATTTTATAAGAAAAAAAAAAAAAGAAAAAAAAAGAAAGAAAGAAAGAAACTGGAAAGAGACAGAGAGAGAGAGAGAGAGAGAGAGAGAGAGAAAGAGAAAAAAGGGGGAAAAAGAATGATCGGAACAAAAAAGAGAAAAAAACTAGAAAAAAAAAAGAAACTAAAAAACGAAAAAAAGAATCGAGGGGGTTCAACCAATCGTTCTTCAATTCATTTTTTCTTTTTTTTTTTTTTTTTTGGGAAACAACGCGAATTTCTCATTTCACGATTCGTTTTTCTCGGCAAGAGAACGCGTTATGCGGTCGAGAGAGAAAGGGGGCGGGGGGGGAGGAAAAAATCGATTGTCGCGATCTCGATCGAGCGACGAAACGATCGTCTGGCAAAATCATCAGAGATATATACCCGTGATACTCGAGGAAAAATTGAACGAACGGGCGCACATCGAAACGATGGACC